TAAGGTGGAACAACTTTCACTAAACCCTTGTTTAGTGAAAAGCTTTATTTAATTTTGTCTACTAAAAAGAAACATGCATTATTCCTCTGAATGATGTGATTAATGATATGCCATCTTTGAAATCTTGGGGAGAAGAACTGTAAAATGTAATTTGGAACGGTGTTAATGTACAATCCTCTTAATTTCTTCTTATCTTCAGTTGATTGATATATATACGTCTTTTGTATATATAGTCTTGGGCCAAATGCTCGCCACAATAATATATGTCTGTATTATTGAAAAGTACTAATACGCACTCTGAATAAAACATAATAAAGGATGTTACAGGATAATGGACATTCAACAGCAGATGGTAATTGCTGTACTTCTGAGGGGAGAGTTACATCGTTGTACAGAGCCAAGAGCCAAGCCAAGACAGAGAGCGACCTTGTGTCCCTCTGTTACTATATAGATGTGCTTATACTAACATCAGCGTTTAACTCTAGCCATATAAGGACAAAACCCCCACATCCACATTCCAGAGATCTCGGACACAGAAAGCCTTGTGACTTATACCATCTGTTACTTATGTCAATCCACACATCCATATATAATCAATAGAAACATGGAATATGCAATATTCTACATTCCCTCTGTTTATGGTTTGTCTTAAAACCATAACACAATGTAACTAACCTGTCCATTCATACATCACTTGTATCACATTCATTGAGCATAGAACAAGATGAAGTCACAACTTTCTATTATAGAGAGTTCTTAGAAGGTCGAGTTTCTATCCCTTATACTGCTTACTTTACTTCAAAACTCCCTCTGTTTCAGCTATGTATTGATATCCATATCCATGTTACATCATAATTACTTGAACATAATATATACATATATATAACAATAATAAATGAATAAAATATTTACAAATGTTGATCCAATAAACAATAAAGCAATCAGAAAGATCTACCTGCTATGGTACAGTCGTATCTTTGTAGATAACAAAATCAAGATGATAACTTTCTAAATAACAATAACTGTGTATCACTATCATATTCCTACAGATACATATATAGTATAGTATTTTCATTCTCAATACCTGATTTTACTAAAATACTAATACATGTATTACTATAATATCCTGTCCAATTAGATTCCATGAATCATATGGTTTCTAGCAACCTTAAAATCTTTAGGTCATTTGTATTCATGAATTACATTCCTATACCATTAATACCACCTAGTGATGATTGTATCAGTACTTTACAATCATAGTATTTAATTTGTATATTCAGTAGGCTCTCACTACCTGAAATATATCAACACTACTTATAAGTCTCATTCAAAGGATGTGTTATCAACCATGAAGTTCTATAATAATTCTTCAAATAATGTTCATGGTGTTGACAATACTTTTTGTTCTAGAAATTATCCACCCAGAAATCTTTCTATCATAGATTTGTTTTTGTTTACATAATTATAATTTTCACTAAAATTCCACCTTGTAGTAACAAACTTTTCATTCAATCGGAGAATGGTTTACTTTAAAAGAACTTGGAAAGAATAATTTAAATTCATTAGCATCACTCTCTTCATTAGCATTGTGATGACTTATTAATGTAATACATCTTAAAAGCAGGATTGTCCTATTGTTCTGACCAATCCATATTCCTTAGTACACTTCAACTGACTAAAATAAAATAAAATAAACTTGGGGTCATACTGCCCAGAAACTCTTATTCCTAGTCTGTGTCTAACAAACTCAGGGTAATCATAAAACAACGTGTTACAACGTATTCAATTCATTGGATACCGTCATATCCAGAAACCTATTCTCCCTAGTCCATAACTTTATAGACTTAGGTCAAATATAATTGTGTACTAAACTCAATTTAATTCCTCTTGGAACTCTGAACTCTTATATCCAAAGCATTCTTAATGTATATAATTACTTAATATTAATCAATATAAATTATCCTTCCCTAGTTTTCTTCCTTATGTTACCATTGTTTGTTTTACTTCACCTCGATATAAACAAATTAATTATTATAATTAATCTATGAAATCCTATTGAACTCAATCTTTGTAGAATTAAGTAACCATGATCCTTATTTTATCAACTTCATATATTATCTACCTCTGATACTTCTCATCCTATGTATAGATAATAATGTAATAGTTCTTTTCATAATACTATCCTTTTGTAATTGTACTCCATGTGTTATATAGCTATAAGTAGTCTCTTTTGGTATTAATACTCATAACTGTTAAATAACTTTTCATTGTCTGTTTTCTTCATCATTAATATTTAGGAATATATATGTATGTTAGTGTCAATCTTTTATTTCTTTGTAAGTCTGTTAATCTTCTGTATCGAATGAACTCTGTAGAATCTTCCATCACAGTTTGCAGATCAGATGAAAAGTCTCTTTCCAACAGTCAATGTCCAGTAGTCTGAAGGAATGCTTTCCTGATTTATTGACACATGGATTTGTCACGCTTTACCTATATTAAAACAAAAAACCATGTGCAGCATCAATACAATGGCTTACAATGTTTATATCTCATTATTATTACACAGTTTAAC